ATCCAAGGGTTCCACCTTGCAAATAACTAGAATTAGTTTGGGTACAAAGACAATAATTAATTGGTTAAAACCCCTTTTTGTCCCTAAACTATTGTACGGACCTCCGATTTGGTCCCTGAACTAAAAAAATCCCTGATTTAATCCCTACTGTTTATCATTTTTACCCCGATTTGGTCATTCCGTCAAATATCAACCTACGTGTCCCGTTACTTGATGGGGAAAACGATGACCTATTAAAACATTTTGACACCTAGGATGTACAGTGTGAAAAAAAATGAGATGGCAAAAAAATCTTAAAAAATTTCTTATTCTTTTTTTTTTCTTTGTTTGTTTTTCCTTTTTCCCTTTCTTCTTCCTCTCCCTTTCCTTTAACCTTCTGCAAACCCTAATTCCTAATATTAAATTCGAGGATAACACAACAAATCAACAGATTAAACTCAATAGATATTTGACCTAACGGCTGCTGGGTTCAAAACGAAACCCAAAGCCTCACTTGCAGGAACTCAGCAGCTACTCAAACCCAACGCTTGCTGGGTTCGATTTCAAACCCAACACTTGCAAATGAACCCAACACTTGCAAAAACCTAGCATTCGAAATTGACAAATCAAACCCAGCATCGAACCCAACACCTAACACCTGCAGTAATGCCTTCTTCATCTTCATCAATCAATTTTTTCATCACAATCAAACAACAAAATCCAAAAAACAAAAACATAAATTTTTTTTTTAAAATTTTTTGCACCTGGGTTCACAAGGAACCCAAGCGTGCTGGGTTTGTAGGAACCCAAACGCGAACCCAGCACGCTTGGGTTCCTTGCGAACCCAGCGCCTGGGTTCGTAAGGAACCGAACCCAAGCGTGCTGGGTTCCACCAAACCCAGGCATGCTGGGTTCGGTGCGAACCCAGACGTGAGCCCAGCACCAGACGCGAACCCAGCGAACCCAGCACCAAATGTGAACCCAGCAAACCCAGCACCAGACACGAACCCAGCGAACCCAACACCAGACGCGAACCCAGCACCAAACGCGAACCCAGCACCAAACGCGAACCCAACACCAGACGCGAACCTAGCATGCTTAGGTTCCTTGTGAACCTAGCGCCTGGGTTCGCAAGGAATCGAACCCAAGCGTGCTGGGTTCCACCAAACCCAGGCATGCTGGGTTCCACCAAACCCAGGCATGCTGGGTTTGGTGCGAACCCAGCGCCTGGGTGGGTTCGAAGGAACCCACGCCTGCTGGGTTCCGAGGGGAAAGAGACGAGAAAGGGGGAGGAGAAAGAGAAAGGGAAAGGGGAAGGAGAAAGAAAAAAGGAAAAAAGAAAAAAGAAAAAAAATTTTAAGTTTTATTTTTCATAATATTTTTTT